AAACTGACGACGAAATAGAAGATATATCTGAAGAAAAAACATTAAAAATAGCAAAAAAAGCAAAAGAAACAACTCAACGCTTACTGGATGTCGAGGAACTTCATGAAACTGATGCTATTCAGAGAAAAAGAAAAGTTGAAACGCAGAGAGAAAGCAGAGAAAAACAGAGTGTTCCCGTCGCAGCTTTGCGTAGACAAGCAGCAAAAAGTAAGAAATAATATATTTATATACTTATCCATAAAAAATATTTTAAAATATTTTCATTTTGTTCTGCTTTCTCTTCTTTTTTTCTCTTCTTTTGAATGCAGTGCATGAGGTGCCTATACACCCCAGCGTTTCGTGGTGGTTTCGGTGACTTACAGCTTTCTTTTTGTGTGTTTTTTCATGTTTTTCTTCTTTTTATGAATAAATTTTGATCTATTTCTTTCTTTTTGCAAATATATTCTATTTTGTTTTTGTGTTGCGGTCTATATTACAGGGAAAAATACACGAATGCGTATTGAATACGAGCCAGAGGCATTGGCAGAAGAAGAAGCATGAAGATGAAACGATGGGGATTATATTTTATGAATTACTTTTTCTTTTATATTTCCTTTATTTAGAAATTAAAGGTTTTAACATATGTATACTTTCTATACCATATCCTTTATTATTTCTTTCTTTAGCTGCGGCGTGGTGCAGCTTCTCTGTTGTTCTCTCTCTGTTGTGTAATTTGTATATATTTGATGCTCTCCTTCAACCCTAAACCCTAAACCCTAAACCCTAAACCCTAAACTCTTTTTCTTTTTCTACTTTCCCTTTATTCAACTCTGAAACGGTTTTTTAAACATATGGCTGCTTACGCCGTCAATACAACAACCCCACCATCACCAACCACCACCAGCTAGTATATTAATTCTTATCAAATATTATTATAAATATAAATTGTTGCTGTTTCTGTAGTTATTCACTATTACTATCAATAATATTGTAGTTGTAATTAAAAATGTAAGCATTGTTGACTCCCCCTAAATACTACTAATTATATATATATTATATATATATACATACATACATATATATATATATATATATATATATATATATATATATATATATATTTAACCTTAGTATTAATAATAAAAGTCGTAGTACAAATAATTCTATCTCTATATTATTATAATTATGAATTATTATTAAAAATTATAATTTATTATATTTAAATAATATATATTAATATATATTATATTTATTTATTAGTATTAGTAATATATATAACATAAAAGAGGTATTAATACTATTTATTTATTTTTAATAATAATTCATAATTATAATTACTAATACTAATAAATAAATAAACAAGTATTTAAATATAATAAATTATAACAATAAATAATAAATAAAGTTTATTATATTTAAACAAAAAGAAAAGCAACAAACATAAACGAAAAATCTCGCCGCTGTATACTGCATTGTTTCCTCTGGCGGCTCTTCGCATGCAGCGGCGTTAGTAACAATAAATATAAAGAAAATATAAATTATTTTATATAAATAAATATAAATACAGAAAATATAAATTATTTTATATAAATAAATATAAATACAGAAAATATAAATTATATTATATAAATAAATATAAATACAGAAAATATAAATTATATTATATAAAGCAAGAAAATATTATGTTACATATATAAAGAAAATATAAATTATATACATAAAGAAAATATAAACATTATATTACATAAAGAGAGAAAATATAAACATTACAATACATAAACAAAGAAAATATAAATATTATAATATATAAACAAAGAAAATATAAACATTATATTACATAAACAAAGAAAATATAAATATTATAATACATAAATAAAGAAAATATAAATATTATATTATATAAATAAAGAAAATATAAATATAAAAAATAAAAACACAACAACCCCACCTAACGTAGTAATATAATATTGATAATTAAATAAAGTTTTTTTAAAGAGGAGCTGAAGATATATAATATATATATATATATAATATATATATAAATATATTTATATATTACATATATAATATATTTATATATTATATATATATTATACATTTATATTTATATTTATATATTTCATATATTATATATTTATGTACGCAAGGCGGTACTCTCCTTGTACAAATTAAAACGTAGCAGTATATATATATATATATTTATATTATAAATATATAAAAAAATATATATTTATATTATA